CTTGGGGGGGCCCAGGCCCCTTACCCCCCATGCCACTCGCCACTCACTGGCCCCCCCCCCTTCTCCTCTTTTTTAAAAGACTTATTTAATTTTATTTAATTAAATCAGAAAGGGGAAGGGAGGGAGGGAGAGAGAGAGAAACCAAGCCAAGTCCAGGACTTGAACCTGCAGTCGGCTGTGTGGGAGTCCAGCGCCCCTGACCATCACTTCATCTGCCGGCTACCCCAAGAGGCGGTGTCTTACCTCCTTGAACCTCTTGCAGGGAAACGTCTTGAGCCGCGCGGCCCGCTGGGCGGGGTCCTCGGCCGGCTCCTTGCGCTTGTTCTGAAGCTGCCTGCGTCTTTCCTCCAGGGCTTCACCAGCAGCTCTGCCCCTGCACGAGGACGTGGGGAGGGGGTGAACGCTCTGGCCTTTGCCCTGGCCAAGCCCCACCCTCAGGGCGCTGCCACTCACCCGGGCCTGGCACGGGGCCTGGGACCCCAGTTGGGCTCCGGGTTGGCCTGGAAGCGCTTAAGTCCTCGCTGGCGGGAGCTGGGGTTGGCGTCCTCCCGGATGGTGAAGTTGGCCTGCAGGCTGGGGAGTGGGGGGGCTGTGGGCGGACGCCCTGCAGGTACACACAAGCCACACCCAGGCTGGGCCGCCCACTTCCGGTCCTTATCAGGATTTCCCCCCTTTCTCTTTTTTTTTTTAAAGAGATTTTTACTGCCGGCAGGGGGCGTGGTGGTTAAAGTGCATTGGACTCCACATGGCCGACCCTGGTTTGAGTCCTGGACCTGGCAGGTTGCTTTCTCACTTTCCCACTCTATCACTCACTCTGTCCCTTAAAATTAAATAAGTAAATAAATAAATGAAGGACCCACGGAGATTAAGGCAGCTGGATTCCACATGGCCACCTGCATGGTTTTAAGTCCCGGACCCAGCAGCTTGAAAAACATGATGGGCTGGGTGTGGGTGCCCCAAATCCCCAGTGGAGAACAGAGGAGACGGGATTGTGGTGTGGCCATTCTCCCTGGGGTGGGGGTGCTTTCTCACACATACCCTATGGGAGAAAAAAAAAAAAGGCCGGGAGGGAGAGGGGTAAGGTGAGGCCAGGGAGGTGACAGGCATTATGCAGGGGCTGGTGAGCTGCAAGGATGATTCTGGCTCCTACGAAGTGAGGTGGGAGCCGTGGAGGGTTCTGGGTCGAGGAGGGAGAGCTGACACAGAGAGCTGATGATGGAAGACGAGAACGGGGGCATTGGGGAATTGGGATGGGTTGATGTAGGTGAGTTCTCTTTTAATTACTTCATTTTTTAAAAGCATTTTAAAATTTAATTTTATTTATTCCTTCATTTTACTTTCATTTGACCAGAGAAAGAGACAGAGAGAGAGAGAGAGAGAGAAAGTGAGAAAGCAAGCTGCCAGGTCTGGGACTCGAACCATGGTCAGCCATGTGGAGTATCCAGCGCCTTAACCACCACACCACCTGCTGGCCCCCTTAATTATTAAATTAAATTAATTAATTACTATTATTTTGATTTGACCAGAGAGAATGAGAGAGAGAGGGAAAGTGAGAAAGCAAGCCACCAGGTCCGGGACTTGAACCGTGGTAGGGCATGTGGGAGTCTACGAGTATTGTGATGTGACCAGAGAGAATGAGAGAGAGAGGGAAAGTGAGAAAGCAAGCCACCAGGTCCGGGACTTGAACCGTGGTAGGGCATGTGGGAGTCCAGCGCCTTAACCACCATGCCACCCACCATCCCCCATAAATGGGTTCTGACTTGGGATCTCGCTGGAAGAATATCGAACAACTGCATGGGGGAGTGCCTGTCGTCTGTACACGCATGAGCGCCTTAGAGCTGTGGCCTCGTCTTTCGGCCCTGTCCCCTCTCGTGTGTGCGTGTCCCTACCTGGGTTCCACGCTGAGAATGCGGAACGCCGGGCTGGTCTCTGACAGTCGCTCCCGTTTCACAGGACACTCCTTCTCCTGGGGGTAGAGGTCAGAGCTAAGTTAGGGGACCCTGGCCTCCCTGCCACCCCACCTCTGTCAGCCCTGCCTTTACCCAGCAGCGCATAATGTCCCAGAGCGCCGAGGCCGGGGCGTCCGTCTTCACGGCGTTCTTACAGGCATGCGACAGTGAGACCCGGAAGCCAGCGTGGAGGAGGGCGGACCTGGAGACGGACCGGGATGGTAAGGGGGCGCTGGACCTCGAGGTCCAGACTGGCTTGTGTTGGTGTGAGTGTGTCGTGTGGACTGGCCGGCTGCACCTCTCACATGACTATGGGTGTGTGACGTCGTAACATGATTAACTGCTGCTGGGCTTCTGGGCTCTGTTCCTTTTTAAAAATTTTTAAAGAATTATTTGCTTGGGACCAGCAGTTAGCGTAATGGCTATGTTGCTGGACTCCCATGTAGTCGACGGCGGTTCGAGTCCCGGACCTGGTGGCTTAAAACTCACGCCGGGTGCGTGTGCGTGCGTACCCAAGATCCCAAGAGGAGAATGGAGGAGAAGGGATTGCGGCATGGCCATCCCCCTCAGGGGGGGGGGTGATTTCTTGCTTTCTGTCTCTGTCTGTCTGGCGAGCGCACGTGCCCTATA